TTCCACGTAAAAATCTCTGTGTTCTTTATTTTATGCACTCTTAATTCCGCAAACAGTAGTAGTAAGTACACCTAGAAGAACCAGGTTCTTCTAGAGCGAAAATTGGGTACCACACAAATCACCCCCCCCCCCTCTTGTGTGGTATTAACGTTAAGAACATCACAAATCTATAAAGTGTCCGAAAGGACTACTCCTAAACTTGTTTTCGAGGCCTTCATCCTGCAACATCTTCCGAAACTCACCCATACCTGCTAATCCTAATGAGGATCTCATAGTGATCTTCTTTTTGAAGGTCGCATTATCATCTAAAATGTCTTGTACTTTAAGGGTGGAAGTTCCGATCGAAGCTTTAAGATTTCAACCTCGCAACTGTCAGACTCATCCTCAGTCATTTCATCCTGTACGTGATTTAAAGGTGTTGATTAATCAAAGGCAAAAGAATAATTAATTTAATAATTAAAAAGATCTCTTTACAATCATGTTTAGTGAAACATCCTAGAAAATATTCCAAGCATCCAGACAGAAACTTTAAATATCCAGAGAGATGTTTCAAACATCCAGAGAGATATTTGAAACATATTAAGCTTACCTCAACAGATTGAGAAGGTGCATTATCATTCTTTCTCTTTTTCCTTCTTTCTGCGCTGCCTCTTTTTCTTCTTCTTCTTCTTCATCTTCTTCATCTTCTTCTTCTTCTCTTGAAGCTTCTTCTTCAGTATTTGCTACTGATGCTTCATCGTCAATATTTGTTTCCTCTTCTCTTTCATCAATTGTTGTCTCCTCTTTTGATTCTTCTTCATTAACATTTATCTTTTGTTCTCTTACTTTCCTTGTTTCCTCTTCTTCTTCCTTTCCTATTTCTTCTTCTTTTTCTTTTTCTTTCTCTTTCCGCTTCTCTAGCATTTCCTCCTAGTACATTCTCTGTTTCCTCTTTATTTTCTTTCTCAATTTCCTCTTCATTTTCGTTCTCTTTTTCTTCTTTTCCATCATTCCCTCTTTCTACTACCTCAAGAGGTTTGGCTTCAACTTCAGCTACAATTGATTTTTTTGTGGCTCATCCTCCTGAGATGTCTTAATTCTAGTGATAGATCTTTTGGAAGGAGATTTATCTCTTCCTCTTCCACCTATCTTTGACACACATCCCTTTGCCATTTTAGACAAACAAGTAACGACCACCAATAAAATAGATAAATAATTTGTTCCTAACACATAAAAATTAAAACTATAAATATTTAAGTATTCTTCGGTGAGATGTTTAAAGCCTCACATAAGAAGTTTCAAACATATCATTAAAATGTTTTAAGATGTTAGAAACATCTTAATGAGATGTTTGAAACATCTTACTGGGATATTTCAAACAACTCTAAAGGTGTTCCATTAAATGGTCATATAAGATTGAGCTTAAGAGGTAAAATCAATTTTCTGTCATCTACAAATGCTAAGCAAGATATAACAATTTAATTTTCTAGCTTGTTAGATGGAGTTTGAAAGCAAGCTAGCAATGTTCATATTGTAGTTCTCCAAACTTCTTTATCTATACGTCTCTATCAATGATTTTTTTTAATCGCTAAAATAAACAACCATCTCACTGTGATAATCAGGTATCTTTTGGTGAAACATCTCATGGATTGTTAAACATCCTTACAGATGTTTCAAACATCTTATATGAAGTTTCAAACATCTTAATGACATGTTTCAATTACTCAGCTCAAAATATCATTAACAAAACCCATATAAATATTGCAATAACTTCACAACATACAACAACAACAATAACAACACGAATATTTAACAACATCTTAAGATGTTTCAAACACTTAACTGATATGTTTGAAATATTTGGGCGAAAAAGTATTCCACAAACCCAAAATAGAGCAATATAGTTGTTTCAATATCACAATAACTAATTTTATGGGCATGTGGAACAGCCACATCAACGGCTACAATTAAACAACATAAAAATATTAAATTTTCAGTCAAAAATATCAACTACACAACAACTCTAGAATATAGTCACAAAAACTATACAACAACAAGAAGATACAAAAATACCCCAAAAATCAATTTAGGGTTGAAATAACAAGTTTAGGGTTTATCAATATGATAGAAAAAAGAAGAAAAAAACTTAACTTGATGATGGAATCTCGACTTCAAAGCAAATTTGAACGCAATGGAGCCGATTTTTGAAGCCCCATAGTACTCTTGAGTTTGGAGATTGAATTTGAGAGAAAAGCTAGAAAAGTTTTCAGGGGAAATCCGGTGTTGTTTTGAAAAGAGAAGAAAGAAAAAATATGAAAAAGGTTGAAAATTGTGTATTAGAAGATGGGTTTTTATTTTTATTTTTTAGTATTTTAAATTTGACCCCAAAGTTTTTTTATTTCTAATTTGACCCAAATCACCCCTAATCCTTCTTAATTAGTCAACCTTTTGTTAATTAAAAAGGGTGTTCCAAATACTTACACAACACTTGAGATGTTTTATTTAAGATACTTTTTCTTCTCCACACCCCAAAAACCTCTTTAACAAATTCATGAAGGTCCAGAGCAAATCCACTTAGAATTCTAACAGGAGTTTGTTTTGCAAATAAGCTGTATGAACACTCAGATACACCATTTTAGGGCTGGTCATATATCGGGTAAAACCGATAACCCGAATCGTTAATTGTTTATTGGGTTATCGGTATCGGGTTATTGGGTTAACGGTTCGGTAACGGTTTAGAATTTTTTTACTATTGGGTTATCGGTTCGGGACTCGATTTGCCAATTTTGTTAATGGGTTAACCGATAACCCAATAAGAATTAATAAAATTATGACTTTACCTTTAAGTATATACAAATGCTAGGGGCTTCAGTTCATTCTCTCCTATTCTTTCTCAACCCCGCTCTTCAATTTCTTCATCTTCATTCTTCATAGACCTTACTAGTTACTCCTAGCGCAAGTCTTTAGTATACTATATGTGAATTATTCTCTTTTTTGCTTAACTCCAGTGAATTATCTTTTCTTTTTTGCTTAACTCTAGATTGATTTATCTTATCGGGTAAACCGATAACTGAACCGATAATGATCGATAACCAATTAACCGATACCCGATAACCGATATTTTATCGTTTCTGTTATCGGTTTATCAAATTTGTAAACCGATAACCGATATGGTAAACCGATAATATTCATAAATGCCCACCCCTACACCATTTTTTTTATTCAACTTTCATGAGACATAAAAAGTAGCTAAATGGAGCTCATAATATTATAGTGATGTGGATTCCAAACTTCACGATCTGGTAAAGTAGAAAGCACTTTAGACCAAGAAAAAAAAGTAGAAAGAACTATGCATCTCTTTTCATTTGTGTGTAACATTAGCCTCTGTCCTCTTAGGGTAAATCTAGTAAAACTGAAACCATAAACAGAGAAAATTAGCTTGGCCATTGCATAAAAATGACGTCGGATAACCTATGAGGCCATCAAAACCTCGTTTCTCTTCCCTTTTTTAGAGTCAGCTCTTTTCTAATCTAAGATAATAAGCCCATGAGCAAATAAAGAAGACTTCCATCCCTCTAGGTAATTTAGAGCCCGTTTGGATTGGCTTTACAAAATGATTTTTAAGTACAAGTGCTTAAAAGCAGCTTTTAAGTATTGGAGCTTATTTTATAAATAAGCAGTTACATGTTTGGATAAAAGTGCTGAAGCTTAACAAAAGTTATTGAAGTGTTTGACAAACAAGTGCTGGTAAGCACTTTTTCTTATTAAAAAGACAAAAATATCCTTAAAACTATTAACATTACAGTGAGATAATACATCACTTTATTTTTAATTAGAGGTAGAGTGTAAAAAAATATAAAAATAATTGAAAGAAAACACTTTCGCTTTTAATTGGTTTTGTGTAATCTGGAGCGTAAATCCAAATTAATTAGAATCCGGATATTGTTGTCAAATATCAGTTAAAAAATCAAAAAGAAAGAGAAGACGGTAGTATTATACTTATTTATTAGAGTAATACTTTTCTGGCCGGAAAGTTAATTATTAACAGTTCATAAAATGTCAGCTTTTAGTTAACGCCGAACTCCAATTGAAATATCCATGGAAAGTGTTGAAGAAAAGTGCAGAAAAATGAAGATGAAGCAGAGATGAAGAGGAAAGAAGAGAACGGCAGAGTGAAGGAAATAGAAGTACAATGTTTTAGGGTTTCTTTGACAGAGGGTAATTTTGGTATTATAAAAACTTATAAGGGACAAGAGAGTAATTTTATTGGTCAAACTAAAATAGCTTTTAAGTCAATCAAAAAAGTTGATGTCAGCAACTTGTTGCTTTTTAGCTTTTTTAAGCTACTTTTTAACTTTTTTTAAGCAGTTTTTTTTTTTTTTTTGCCGAACACTCCAAAAAATAAAAAAGTGCTTAAAAGCTGGTTTGAGCCCATCCAAACGCCCCCTTGCTCAGACTAAGCTCCTCTTTTACAGAGACCTAAAATAGTAAAATTGAAGACTAAAGGGGCTCATAAGAGCACTACAATGTTTTAGTCACACAAAAATCCGTTGATGGTTTTGAGAATTTTGATTAAACAATCGTATCTTTTATATCAAGCAAAAACAACTAGGGATGCAGAACGAAGCACCAGGACACAATTCAAAACTCTAAGCTTTAGAAAAATACCAAATTCAAGCTAAGATGGAACACAGTAATATACACAAAGTAACAACATTTTACTACTAAAGAAAACCCTAATTTCACAAATCTAACCCCCCAAATCCGTAGATAGTCCTGTTCCGTCTCTTCAACACGTAAACAACACAGATAGAATTCTCAATTACTCGTTAGCAACATTATTTCTAAAAATCTATTGCCACAAATATATAACTATTAAGCAACTTACTATTCAGCAATAAGGTAAAGTTCAAACAATCCCTCTAACTGTGAAATATCTTGAGCATAAAATTGAAAATTAGCTACTTGCCGGCAAAGGAAATCGAAAAGCAAAAAAAAGCAAATAACGTGAAGATTCAGAATGAGTATTGAGCAAATCTTTTGCCAATTACTATTTCTTCAATATGTAACGGAGAATTACATTACCAAGCTCAAACAAAAACTAAGAAATTCTAATCCACAACAAATGATAAAAAGATCTACAATCATTACCCTCAAAAGCCCTAATTTCACAAATCTAACCCCCAAATCCATAGAGAGTCCTACCCTGTCTCTTGAGTGCATAAACAACATCCATAGCAGTAACAGTCTTTCTCCTAGCGTGTTCAGTGTAAGTCACAGCATCACGAATCACATTCTCCAAAAATATCTTCAACACTCCACGAGTCTCCTCGTAAATCAAACCAGATATACGCTTTACTCCTCCCCTACGAGCCAAACGCCGAATTGCAGGCTTTGTGATTCCCTGAATGTTGTCCCTCAACACTTTTCTGTGCCTCTTTGCTCCTCCTTTGCCCAATCCTTTTCCTCCCTTGCCTCTTCCTGACATTGTTTTGATAAATTGATGAAAAACTGAAGGAGATTTTAGAAATTGATATGAAGAGATATGTTTTCGATTTGAAATCTGATGAAAGGGGGCGTGAGCTATATATAACTGGTGGTTGTTGGGGTTTGTGGAGAACTTTGAATCGTGGCCGTTAATATTTTGGAGTTTAAAGATAAGATCGACGGATATGAGTGTCGATCCGCGTGAAAGGCTGATAGTGCATATCAGTCGTTGATTAAATGGAGATCTAAGGTGGAGAATGATTGTTTTGTGATAGTATGCGGATTGTGCTTTTTTTTGGTGAGAGAAACGAGGTACTCTATTGGCATTTGGCTTTGGTCAGAGAATCTATCCTTCTTTGTTCCTAACTTCTTTTACAGGTCACATTAAATGTTTTTTTAGCATTTTGAATATTAAGTTTTAATATTGACATGTCAATATTAATATGGTCCGTAAAAATTGAAATTTTGATTTGAGAAATATTTTAAGTAAACAAAGTTATTTTTATTTACAAATTATTAATTTTCACAAAAAAAAATGATTTAAATTTTTGTTTCTATAGGTTCTATCATTTTTTTTATTTCTAGTTTTTTTCAAATTCTCTACAAAGAGAATGGAAAAGTCTAATTATGAACCATCAGAAAATTATTGACGTTTAAACTCGTGATCTTAATGATTGTACTACTTCTTGGGACTAATCTCTTTTCTCTCTAGTGGCATGACCTCATATATATAGTATATGAAATCTTGATATGAAATTATGGAAAATAATAAAATTTATTTCCATAAAATAGAAGTTACAACAAACTACACATTCCGATTTCCGCACCCCCAATTTGGTAGGGTATATACTTGGACCTTTACAAAAATTACAGAATAGAAGTATTGACAATCAGATTACATAAGTTCTGATCTATGGAGCCTTAACGAAAATTTTACAAACTTGAGGAGCACATGACCAACTTCATAGAAGGTTTTTCCAAGCAAACCGTAATTGTTTTCCTCAAAATTACGTTACTTAACTTTGAGGTGGATTTATAAGGTTAGGGAAATATATAAGCTTATTGTTATTTTCTTAAGGATTTATGTTATATGTATCGATAATGTAGAACGTTATCAGTGTAATTTAGAGCATGTTTGGGAATATCCCTACAAGTTCTAGGGTGTCAGAACTTATCAGCAAGACGGTTATCATCTCTTTTAATGTTAGATTCTTTCTTTTTGCAATCTCATTAGGTTTGAATGTGTATGTGCACTTATTTGATGAATAATATCATATTCCAAATGTATTTTTACAAAGTGAGATACATATTCGCAATCCTATTACTTTTGTATTGCTTGAATATATTAATTTCTTCATCCTTACTACTAACTAAGTAAATACAGTAATATCTAGTGTTGTTGCCAATAAAAGTTATGAAATATGTCAATTCACTGCGAAATGGTATTGATTTCATGTCACACGTGTATGTTAGAATTTAGCCGAACGGATTTGAATTTCTTTCAATAGACTTATAAGGATATTTAACATACTTGGATTCCACACATATTGATATTTTTATTTACTGCATTCAAACATAGGCAATACTTCCAAGTTCATCATTTTCTCGCATAGTTTTGAAGTTGACGTGACCTAAATGTGCATGCCACATATTATTTGACTCAAGTAAGTAAGAAGAAACTTCGACTTTATTCATTTCAACAGCAACTACACTCAGCTTGAAAAGGCCCCTAGTTGAGTAATATTTTCCTACATACATTTCATTCTTACTTATTAAAATACTTCTAGACACGAAAACAAGGCATCCACATTTAGAAAAGTTGGCATTGACATTAATAGTAACTGCTGAAAACTAAGGCATTATTTTCAAGGTCATCTCTTTTTAATAGTCACTACATTTCTATCACGAAATATTTTACATAAACCCGAGCCCTCGAGACGACTCGCTAAGTGGAATGTTGAACTTAGCTAATTTGACATTATAACCCCCTACAACCATTCAGTCACAAGTCTTAGCCGACTGCAAAGCCGACTTTAGTACAGGCATACTTCTCGAAGACAAAAAAGAAGTAATTACTACTTCTAAAACAATTTTCAAGATCGGGATTTTCTTTAAGGTTGGTTCCTCAAATGCTAAAAATCTTGAGTTAGGGGCAGTGCTCATTGCATCTATTGGGTAAGTAGTTAAAAAATTTATAAAAGTCATTTTATTACTAACAAAGAAGTCGAGTATGAAGCTGTTGTAATAAATATTTTATTAGCCTAGAGCTCGAGCAAAAAATATTGAGTTAAAGAGTAATTCTTAACTCATGATCACTCAAATCTAAGGAACATATACACCTTGAGAAAGTCGAATTCAACTTTGATTGCAAAAAGTTACTAACCTTTTGGCTGAATTATGAAAGTGAAAGGTAAATTAAATATCTCAAAAGGAGAATGAAAAGTAATTCAAATTCCACGGGAAGAAAATATTGAGGTAGGTGCACTAGAAAATTTTGGATGATGTCACTGAAGAAAATAACTCTGGGCTTTTATTGAGAGATGTCATCTTCGGAACAAATAGTCTCAGGATTGAGTCATTCCTTATTCAGGCGATTCCTAATCTATCATCGTTCAAAATAAAAATAAGGAACCAGACCATTAAAAAGACGAACATCATCGCAACCAACTATCCTACTAGGGACCATCAAACTGAGGACTGCCAGATTATGATTCCAGTGTTCGAGTTTTTATACTTCGAACTCGAACACTAGTAGGACTACTATACTCGAAGATTAGTTAATTTGACCTGATATTGTAAGAAATGATGATATCTAGTAACAAGACTCTAACTCTCTCACTCTAGTCGTTGTTTTTCTTTATGTTACTTCAAAAATAGCTGCTTCAGCTTCATCCACTCGGATTTTCGATATTCCTTTTTATTTCTAATCAAAAGAATGGCATCTTCTTCTGAAAATCCTAGCTATTCTTAGTATGATATTAGGAAATCTCATTGCTATTACTCAAACAAGCATGAAACGTATGCTTGCATATTCGTCCGTAGAACAAATTGGATATGTTATTATTGGAGAAGAGCTTATTTAGTATTGAAATCGAGTTGGAATCGAGGATGCAAGATGCGTTTCAGTACCTTCTTCCTCGTCAAACTCATTCGAAGATTACAATGTGTTGACCCAGGTTCAGGTAAAGTTTTGAAGAATGACAAATGAACTCAGTCATGGACCAGGTCCATCATGTGAGGCACAATATCTATCAACCTAGACATGTGAGATACACGTGAATGAGATAAGTCTCAGTAATCAAGCAGCAATATCTCCTGAACTAATCGAAAAGGTTTGCATATTGAATGAGGAGAGAAAGTCTTCTCATGGGAAGAGGACACAATCCGGATAAAGGATAGGGTTGGAGTTTGTATTGTTCAAGGACTCAACTTCGATGGAAGATCAGCAATTGAGTCTCAATTAAACTCTGATTACTAACTCAATTAAATAACAGTAATTGCTCTTTTTTACAGATGTTGCACAAACGCAGAAGTTAAACTAAATTGAGAGCAAAAGAGCGAGGCAATTTTGCAAGCAATTTATGTGAGATTCAAGTGTGCATTCCTGAAGCTACTTGGACAAGATAGAAGAACCAATTCCATTGTGTCTTTCTTTATTTTAGTTCAATTGTAGTAGGTGTTTTACAGTTGTTCCTTTTCAGCTTTCATAGAAGCAATTGTATTAGGTACTTTGAGTATTCAAGTTAGAGTTAACTTGAAGGTGTCGCAACAGTTGAGGCTGTGTGCTACACTAGGATTAGAGTTTAATCCTCAGGTTTACAAGAGTTTTGTAAATGTTGTTTTGGCTCAGTGATTTTAGTGGAAGTTTGGGAAAATCCTACTGAGTAGTAGGTCGTGGTTTTTTCACCCTTTGAGCCAAGTATTTTCCACGTAAAGATCTTTGTGTTCTTTATTTTATGCACTCTTAATTCCGCAAACAGTAGTAACTACACCTAGAAGAACCAGGTTCTTCTAAAGCGAAAATTGGGTACCACACAAATCACCCCCCCCCCTCTTGTGTGGTATTGACGTTAAGAACATCAATTGGTATCAGAGCAGGTTATCCTTGAAGAGGCTAACACCTTAGGAGAAGATCAACATGAGTGCACCACCTGGGAACTGGGAAGGGCAATCCACTGCTAGGCCTCCACTTTTCAATGGTCAATACTATTCTTGGTGGAAGAACAGGATGAGAGATCACATCATAGGGGAAGACTATGAACTCTGGGACATAGTCACTAATGGTCCCCTATCAAGCACAAAGAAGAATGCTGAAGGAGTTGATGTGCCAAAGACAAGGGCTGACTGTACTGCTGAAGACCTGAGGAAGTGGGAGAAAAATGCTAAAGCCAAGAAATGGCTTGTGTGTGGACTAGGTCTTGATGAGTACAACAGAATTCAAAGCTGTACCACTGCTAAGGAAATTTGGGACACCTTGCAAGTGGCTCATGAAGGAACACCTCAAGTAAAGAGGCCAAGATGAACACTGATGTATTCTCAATATGAGAACTTTACTATGAAGGAAGGAGAAACAATTCAAGAAATGTATACTAGGTTCACTACACTGACAAATGAACTTAAATCTCTTGGAAGGACTATTCTTGAAGAAGACAAGGCTGAGAAAATTCTGACAAGGGTTCTGCCAGTCACATGGGAAAGCAAAATCACTGCCATTCAGGAATCCAAGAATATTGCTACTCTCAGACTGGATGAACTGATTGGAAATCTTAGTGCTTATGAAATGAGAAGGCAAACCATGAAAATGGATACACCCAAGAAGAAGGGGAAGCTTAGCTCTCAGAATTGCTGAAGGTTCAGATCTGGAAGATGATGAGATGGCTATGATCACTAGAGATTTCAAAAAGTACCTGATGAGAGGAAAGGGTTCTTCAAGATGTACAACCTTCAACAAGACAAGAGCTCTTGAGAAACAGACCAATGAGGGTTGCTACAAGTGTGGTAAGACTGATCACATAATCAAGAACTGTCCTCAATGGGAAATTGAGTGGAAGAAAGAAAGGGTTGAACGAAGGAACAGGAAGAA